AGTTTCCCCTGCACGTTTTCTTATCAAGGACTCTGCTTATTCCCTGCTATCCGTTCTCCTTCGGCCCCCTTGTCTTCCCCTCCGCCCCCTCACACATGACTCATCCTTCCTCTTTTTCCTTTGGAATCTGGATTCTCAGCAGGTACCTTCTCTAGCCGTTTCGAGCTTTTCTTCTCTGAAAGCCACCACCTCTTCTCGTTCACTTGGAATCACTCTCAGCTGCTTGCCCCATAAGCCGTCTGCTCACACCTGTGGTGTTTCACCGACCGTGTATTAATGCTTCGTGCTCCCATGAGCTGGCTTTGTAACACATGTTCGGTTCCCCACCCCAGCAGTCTCTTCTCTACCCCTTGATTAACGTACCTGATTTGTAATTGACAGCATCTTTTCCCACCTGTGATAATTCAGTTTCTACTACTTTATCCCTGATTTATCAATTCATGGACAGGGTTCCCATTTTCACAGCGCTGGGGCGGGGGTGGAGGGGGTTGGGGGGGTGGGGGGCGGTGGGTGTGTGTGTGCAGTTCCTGGGGACGGCCACCAGGTGGCAGAATGTTCCTCCCACCTAAGCCTCAACTGTTGGTGGGAGAGGTAGTAGGAAGCTGACATGTTCAAGGGTGGAATTATTTCAGGGCTTCTGGGAGGTTTCTAGCAAGACTAGAAGAACTGGAAATTACAGGTAGATTCTCTCCTAGAAAAAATATCTCCTCTAGACACATCAACTGTTGGTTGTTTTTGCTTATGAGTTATTCAAGTGTATGTAACCATGACAGAATCTGCCTGCAGTGCAGGAGACCCAGGTTTGACCTCCGGGTCAGGAAGATCCCCTGGAGAAGGGCATGGATACCCACTCCAGTATTCTCGCTTGGAGAATTCCATGGACAAAGGAGCCTGGTGGGGTCCTCCTGGTGGAGTCCACGGGGTCGCAAAGAGTCAGACAGGACTGAGCGACTAACAAAAACCATTATAGAAAAATTAGAAAATACCAATAAGGAAAATGAAGGTACTTGAAATCTTACCATACAAAGGTGATATATCTCCTTCCAGACATTTTGCCATGCAGATCTGTGTGAATAAATACATATTGTCTGAATATAACCCTTAATGGAAATACTCTGTATATTGGGTTGACCAGAAACTTTGTTTGGATTTTCCTTTTTTTTTAAGGTTTTTATTTATCTACTCATCTGACATGTGCACACCGCTGTATTTCATTTTTTTGGCTGTGCTGGGTCTTCGTTGCCGCACTCACAGCTCCGGTTGTAGAGAGCCGGGGAGCTCTCTAGCTGCTGTGCATAGGCTTCTAATTGTGGTGTCTTGTCTTGCAGAGCACAGGCTCTAGGCACAGGGCTTCAGCAGTCGCAGCGCAGGGGCCCATCACCTGTGGCTCGCGGGTCCTAGAGCGTGCAGGCTTCAGTAGTTGTGGCGTTCAGGTTTAGTTGGCTCCTCAGCATGTGGAATCTCTTTCTGGAACAGGGATCAGAGCCATGTCCCCTGCACTGGCAGGCGGAGTCTCATCATCCACTGCGCCACCAGGGAAGTCCTGTCCAGGTTTTTCTGTTTGGTGTTGTGAAATATGTTGTTTTTGTAACCTCCTTTTATCATTGATACAAAATATAGTAGATGTTCCATAATGTCAGAATGCATAGATGTGTATAATTTTTCCCATTTTTGCATTTTTTGCACGTTACATGAGTACATGCTCATACAAAAATTGTGAAAGCATTAATAACTTGAGTGCAGGGTATTCCATTTTACAGATTTATCTTCATTTTTTTAGGTTTTTTTTTTTTTTTTGGTCGTACTGTGCAGCTTGCTGTATCTGGTCAGTTCTCTGATCAGGGATCGAACCTGTGCACTCAACAGCTAAAGCATAAAGTCCTCACCATTGGACTGCCAGGGAATTCCCTTGACTTGTGGCTTTCAGTTCGATTCTCAGGCTTGGAAACCCAGGGACAGTGTTTACAATTAGCCAAGTTTGTTGAATGAGAGTATTAAGCCCTGTTCGAGATACAGGGACATGAGCATTTTTTTCTGGATGAGTCTTAGGTACCTTTAAAGTGCGCTTTGACACGTAATTTCATTCCTAGGAATTTAGCCCAAGGAAACAATCTAAAATACGGCTTTATGCACAAGGCTGTTCATTATAATTTCATTATAGTGAAAAACCAGAAATAATTAAATGCTCAAAACAGGAAGATACTGAGTAAATTAGGGTACTTCTGCATCATGGAAAATTCTTTGACCATTGAAAATGTCTAAAAGGAGTTTTTAATATTAGAGGAAATGCTTATGCTAAGTGCTGCACAGATTCAAAAGTATTTAGAGAAAATGTTTCATCTGTATAAAAATGTGCAGAAAAAGGACTGGAAGGAAATATGCCAGAATGCTTTAAAAGTAGCTTCCTCTTGATTATGAAGTTAAGGGTGGTTTATTTTGTGCTCTATTATTTTCAACAAAGTAAACAAGCTTCCAGAAAATGTATTACTAGGGGGAAAATGTTCTGTAACAGAAGTAATATACAAAGACTTTATTTTAATAATTGAAAATGAGGTGAAATATAATGAGAGAAAGCAAGTCTCGCATCTCCAAAGGTAACCAGTGTTAACAGTTTCACCACCTAGCCTTTAAAAAATTTTACATACATACGTGCATATACAAACATATAGTTGTATTTTCTCTTTTACCTGAGTGGGATCATAACTCTATTTTTCTGCAACTTGCTTGTTTTTGCCCCTAAAAATGTCTTTGGTATCTTTGCACCTTGACACATGTAGTCCTGCTTCATATTATAGGTGCTGCTTGTATTTCAGAGTTTGGAGAGTTGTTTTCTCTTAAGTGCCCGGTACTGACAGGCGCCTCCCTCATGTCCTTTTCCCCACTATTTGAAGCAATGGTGCAGTGCTGACCCTTGTACCAGAGTGCAAATGTTTCCCAAGGAGAAGTACTAAGAAGTTAAGTTGCTGGATCAGAGACCATGTGTATTTCTGGGTTTATTTTTTTCCCCTCTGTTTTTTGGGGTTTTTCTTCCCCCTCTGTTTTTTTGTTCTGTTTTGTGGGAGAGGGGTATTGTTTGTTTGGGGTTTTATTTTTTGGCCATACTGTGCAGCTTGCAGGATCTTAGTTCCCCAACCAGGGCTGGAACCCAGGTCCTGGCAGTGCAAGCACTGAGCCTAACCACTGGGCTGCCAGGGAAGTCCCTGCATCTCTGGTTTTGACAGATGTGGCCTGAGTTTGTCAATATGATAGGAACTTGTCTCCTGAAACCAAGACCAGAGGATAACAGTGGCTTCAAACGAAGCAGCTGTGTGCTTCTCCCATAAGAGGCCGAGTGTGAATGCAGCGCTGACGTGGCTTCAGGGTGGCAGGGACTCGGGTTTCCTCCCTCTTGTTGCTCTGCCATCTTCAACACGTGGCTTTATTCTGAGGGTCTAAGATGACTGCTTCAAACTCCTCCATTCATCACCATTTTCTAGGAAGGGGAGGAGTAGTTTAGGGCAGAACCCAGGGGTTACACTGCCCCCGAGACTGGCCAGAACTTATCATACTGGCCATGCACAGCAGTGATGTTCCCATGTACCTCTGTGCCCAGCTAAACTTCTGTTACTAAAGGAAGAAATATTATAAAAGATACGCAAGACCTCTTCACTAAAAACTACGAAACATTGCTAGAGGGCACACATCGGCCAGTGGCAGGGTTACAGCATGTTGATGGGCCATTGGCATTTTGTACATTACCTGTTTGCATCCGTTTGTTTTTTTTTTTCCATTTAGTGGTTTTCCTTTTCTTCTTACTGATTTTTAGGTACTCCTTTTTTATTGTAGATATTAACCTTTTGTCTTTTATAAGTGTTATAAATATTTTCCTGTAGTCAATTTTCTTGTATTTTAACCTTGTTTTTGTGCCTTGATATAATGTTTCAAAACTGTATCAAATCCGTCAGTCTCTTTCTGGGTTTTGTCTTGCTACTGTTTCTTTTATAATCAGAAAAATAAGAAGATCCAGTTTGGAAAGAGAGGCAGAGAAGGAACACAAAGTGACAGCAAAGGCAAGGGTAACTAAATTATAGAGATAACCTAAAATTTCACATTCATTCTTTATTCTAATATCCTCTTTAATAGGCTGCCTCCATGGAGCTGATTGAGGGACCTGGGCTTTGAAAACGGAATAGGATTTAGATAGGTAGAGGAGAAAAAGAGGAGGTGTTCCAAGCAAAAGGAACAACCTAAATTAAACCCTGGAGGCACAGATAAATGTGGCTGAAGTGGACCCGGCTGGATGAGGCTCATACCTTGGGAATAGTAGGACATAAGCTGGACAGGTAGGTTGAGGACAGTCTCTGGGGAACAGAGGATAAATACAGTGATTAACAAGCAAACATTGGGATTAGGCGAAAGATTGTCCAATGCAAAAAGGTCTGTAGCAGTCTTATCCATGAAGGCGTTTTGTTTTGTTTTTTTCCTTAAAGGAAATAAATGAAGTATCTAATAAAAGGGAAATGTTTTAGTAAATTAAAGTATAGCCACGCAATGGAGTACTGACATTGAGAATAATCATTTTTGAAGGCTGTGCGGAAAAACACAAAAATTATAGTAAAAAAGGATGATTAAAAAGCATGTAAAATCATAATTATGATTACAGCTATTTAAAGAAATGTGCATGTGAAAAAAAGACAGAAAAGGAATACTTTGAAATTAAGAGAAGTATATTTGGATGAGTGATTATTTTTCTCCTTTAAAGATGCGCATGTATTGTTGTCATCCTCTATTTATAATCTTTTAAAGAGGCAGGTGTTAGTGGATCAGAGACTCAGCAGAGGCTTTTCAGGGCTTCCTGAAGGAGAACTAGGGGCCAGGGGCCGTGTGCCGCAGGGGAGGAGGGAGGCCAGACCCTGGGGATGGGTGACCCAGGAGGAAGGGGCTCCGTTCCACGGCCTTCGAGTCCCTTGGTCAGTAGTCCCGCAGTGATCAAATGATAAAAGTCCTTTTTTGCATTCCAGGGTCTCCTCATGCTGCTGCAAAACCTACCTACGATACACTGGGGCAACGAAGAGATCGGGCTGCTCCTCGCCGAGGCCTACAGACTCAAGTACATGTTCGCCGATGCCCCCAATCACTACCGCCGATAGGTGCTGTCTCCCCAGGGGACCCAGACTGCCCCCACCTCTGATGGCAATCTGATCACTGTGGCCACTGTGCGAGCCGTGGACTCTGGCCAGGAGCTCCTCCTGCTGTAAAAAGCTCACACCCGCCGCCCAGGTCTTAACTTTCTGGCGTGCCTGTCCACCACGCCCTGTCTCCGGACGGGTCTCCTGGACCGCTATCAGTATTCCATGACACGTGGATGGGCTCAGCTCTGGGAGAGGACAGAAAAGGAGGTACAGGGTTGTCTGCCCCTTTAAGAGAAACCGGAGAGAAGAAGGGGAAGGCTCAGGGTCTCAACTCACATTGCCCTACGTGGACTGGCTGTCTCTTGCCTCCCAGCCCCAGCTGACACCGTTGCTTTTTTGTGACATAGTTTAATTTGATCATAGGTCAAAAATGCCTTATGTTTTCAAAAGACTCCTGTCCCCTCCCCTCTACCCCCAACTCCTAGCCCTTCCCCTTCTGCCCAAGTCTAAGCCAGTGAGGGGCAGCTTCCTAGGAGCTTTGTTCTCAGTCGGAGGAGGCACTGATGCTTATAACTCTGGGGAGAGACCTACAGCCAAGGGCTCGGAATTTTATTTTTCCTTTTCTCACACAGATGTCTGTACGTGTGCCTGCATCTGTGTGTGTATGTGGGTGTACACACCCATCAACGTTTAGTTACACGTCCGAATGTCCGTATGTGTCCTGACCAGCCCCGTCAAACAGCCAGCTGGGAAGGGCCCCAGTGACCAAGTATACACGCATCCCTTGAGAAGGATCAGGTCAGGGGAGGGAGAAGGGGCTTATTACCTCTCCGAAACCCCCCCCTTTTTCCGTGATGACCCACTCCAAGATATTATTATGTGTAAATTGTGTTATTATGTATATGGGTAAAGATGTATAAATATATGTCTTCTTTGTAGCAGATATGATTTTTATATTTATAACGTGCATCAACATGTGAAAGCAATCTAGGTCACTAGCACAGAGGAAGTTGCCAGGCAGGTGACTTCAGCGCCTCCAGGTTGGTTCCTGGGCGCCCATCCTGTGAGGGAAGTGAAGGGGCGTCGGCCGCAGTGAGCACAGCCAACAGATGGAGCTGCTCTGATGATGGCGGGAGCCCTCCCCAGCATCAGTGTCTCCGAGTTTTTCCTGTCTTCCTCCTCCCCTCCCCAGCCCCAGGCCTCCAGACGCATTTGCCCTGTTCCTTCCCCATCTTCGGCAGTCAGAGCTCCCCTCCCTTCACCCCAGCTGCTCCCCCCGCCCCCAGGGACAGGACTGCAGAGGCAGAAGCCCCTCTGCATGTTTCTAGCCCCCTGCCTTTGCCCTGGAATTGGGGGCGGGCTTTGGTTTCCACGTTTTTGTTTCTTTTTTTACAAGTCAGCATTGTATTCGAGGTAAGCTGTGACTGACTGTCAGTGCCAAGGGAGAGGGTTTCCTGTGTGTCCTGGGGCCTGGGGCTCTTCCCAGAGAGAGGCATCTGGCGTCCCTCCCACTGTCACCACCCCACGCAGCTCACGAGATGGGTGACCTGTGTTGGGTGCTGGTGGGGGGGAGGTGGCAGGCAGCCGGCAGCCGGCACCCTCTGGGGAAGTTGGGCGGTGCCCCCTGTGGGCGAGGCCCTGAGTCTCCCAGTGGCGCCCATGGCGCTGGCATGTTCCATTTCTCACCGGGAGCTGTTTCTCAGGCATTCTTTCCGGCCCTCTCCTTCTCCCCGTCCGTGTGCCTCAATAGCCTCCTTCACAGAGTGAGAGGGCTGTGGTCCTCCCTCGACTGGACTAATTAAAGAAAGACACTTGTGTTCCCAAGTGGTGGTTTTATTTTTTTAGTTTTTATGTTTGTATGGGAAATTGTGGATAAAGTGAAAGAACTGTAAATAAATAGTGTATTTCCTCCTCCACTGCTGATTTTTCTGCCATGGATTTGCGTAACCCCGAACCTAAGGTCTCCTGTTGTCAGGCTCCTCGTGCTGATGCCTGGAAGCATGGGGGACGAGCTTTCTGTAGCAAGCACAGGGTCGACGGGAGGGCGGGAGGCAGCCTCAGAGGATGTCGGTAAGCACTTGGAAGCGCCTCCTCTGTGCCGGATACTGTGGACACAAACGTGATTCGTGATTCTTCATCGCTCATGTGTATAGGGCACCTTGCCGTGTGCAAAGCACTGTGAAAAGCACTTGAGGTTTATTTCATTTATGCAAAAGGAGTATATAATCTAATGGAGGTTAGAAAATGGACTGAAATTTCAGTGCTAGATGAAAGCCTGGAGACATCTAGTTCAATACCCTCATTGTTCACAGAGGAAAACCCAACCCAGGCCAAGGCCAAGGAAGGGTCATCAAGAGTGAGGACCAGAGGACAGTTCTTCCACAGACTGGCCCTTCACTTGGGGTCTTAATTAGGTTTTGACTTGGAGTCATTTTGTTTGGGTTTGGGTTTTTTTGAGATTTCGGTGGTGGTAGGTAGTTTTTCTGTTGGGAACCTTACTGTGATATGTCTTAAGAAAGGCAGTTGACTGCATTTTTCTTCTACAAAGAATGGACTGGAATGGTAGTTTCTCCACCGAGAACGTCTCCCTAGGATTCACTGGAGAGTGTTGCTTGGTTTCAGTCACTAGAAGCTATATTAGGATTAAATTCAGCCACTTGTAACAGAAACCAAAAATAACAGCTGGGTTTACACAGCATGGGGATTCACTTCTCGCCACCATGAGTGTCCAAAAGTAGGCAACCCAGGCCTGGTATGATGAATGTGTTTCCCAAAGTCTTTAGGAACCTGGACTCCTCCGGGTCTTCTTGGCCAAGGTGGTAACTAGCACTCCAGCTACTACATCCGTTTTCCAAGCAACAAGATGGATTAAAGAACGGAGAAAAAGTGCAGGAAATGTGTGAGCATTATTTTATATGAGGTTCCTGAAGGCCACTCCATAATATCTCCTCTTACAACTCACAGGCTAGGTCTTAGTCCCACGGTAAGGGGATTAGTCTATTCCAGGACACCATATCCCTGGCTCAGAATCAGGATTCAAAACCATGGAGGAAGGGAAGAACAGATACTAGGATTCAAGTGGCATTATTTACAATAAGAATTTTTGAAAATGGAGACCAGACTGTTCGATAAGCATATGGGAGTAGGGGATGGATCTGACTAAAATTCAAGTGATTGTTCATGCTCAGACTTAGAATTTAACTTTTTTCATGAAACATGGACAGTGTATCTATCCAAATAATATCTATATGATATTATTTGGACTGAGGTCATTCATTGTTCCTGAGACTGGTAGAGAAAATAACTGACCTAGATTTGGCTTCATTCAAAAATTCTGTTTTTCATTTATGTAGAAAGTTAAGCATTTTCTGAAATATGTTTAATCATGACTAGAAAATTGGTGAAAACTTTTCAGACAAATCTTGGCATACCCTGACCCACAGTTTATCTGTTCTTTCTGTGATCAGAACCTCTACAGTTCTACTTAACTAGGCCCTATTTCTGTTTTTATTCATCCATGAGGAGAGAGTGGCACAGATTTCTCAGCTAGTGACCTTGTTGCTCCTAGAGGCGTGAATCTCATTTTGAGAGTTTGGCTTGTCTTGGATTGGACTTTGCACGTCAGAGACAGCTTTGTAAAGCTTCAAGGATTGGAGTCAGAACCTAAGGCCCTGTAACTGAGCCCTTCATACCTCTCCTCAGGACTTCCAGTTCTCCCTTCCTGGTTGGAGATCATTTTGAAAGCTGCTGCAGACTCTAAGAAGTCAATTTATTAGACTCACGATGAAAAAGGTTAGATTCACACAGGATCAGAGAACATCCAGCACGTAGCACGTAACCAGACTCTTTGGAGCCTGTGCCAACTTGCCAGGATAGCCACAGCTACAGCCGATCAGAGCATCTCCTTATTTTGGCAAAGGTTCAATTAGCATTCTTAGAAGCAAGGAGAATCCATGTTGATTTTGATTCAAAATCTGTGATCTGTGAGCTGTGGCTCCTGAGTGATGAAAGTGAAAGTCCCTTCTTGAACTGATAGCTGGAGGTGGGGAGTCTGGAAGCCAGATCCCGAGGCCCCACAACTTGCTCTGAGGATACCAAGCCTGTCTCTGTGGGCCCCTAACACACCTGTCCTACCCCACCCAGCTGTCGGAGAGAGGAGAACCCAGACCTTCTCTTCAAGCCACTGATCTCCAACCTTCTTCTCCAGCCCTTTAACCTGTATTTAACGTGGGATTCTTAGAGACAGGATATAGTTGGGTCTTGATGTCCAGTCCAATCTGACGGTCTCTTAATTTGATGCATTTGGGCCATTTACAAATGATGTTGATGTGGTTGACATTTAAGTCTACCATTTTATTTGTTTTCTGTTTGTTCTCTTTGTTTTTTGTTTCTGTCTCTCCCCTCTCCTGCCACTTTTGGGTTATATGAATATTTTTTAGCATTTCATTGTAATATGTCTATTCACTTTTGGTTGTATCTGACATTGCTCTCAGGATTATAATACACAAATCTAACTACCTACAGTTAATATTTTATCACTTTGAGTAAAACGTAGATGCCTCTCAACCGTATATTCTCGCCTTTTATGTTAGGGTTGTTATGTAAATTATGTCAGGATACATTGAAAACCTTACCAGATACTGTTACAATTTTTGCTTTTAATAGTTACATATATTTTAAAGAACTTAAGAGGAGACATTTCCCATTTATGTTCTTCCTTGATTCCTTCTGTTCCAAGTTTCCCTCTGCTATTATTTCCCTTCAGCCTGAAAAACTCCCTTGAGCACTTCTCTTATAGGAAGTATGTAGTCCTCTTAAATTTTCCTTCATCTGAGAACTGACTTTATTTTGCCTTCATTCCTGAATTTATTCTCTCTAGATATAGTTATTTTCTTTCAGCACTTCAACAATGTCCCACTGTCTTCTCACTTCCACAATTTCTGATGAGAAGTCCCTAGCAATTGAAATCATTGCTCTATATCTAATTAACCATTTTTACCAGACTGGCTTTTTTTAAA